TAATATAATATATTGCTAATCCTATTCTCTGTATTCTCATATGTAAGGGTCATTTCAGTTTCAGAATGCAGAGTAAATTGTATATGAAGCAGTTGTATTTAAATGTGTTGAGAATGATCTTTTACTTGCACCAACCCTACTACTGAAGTCTTGTCAGTTTATGGCCAAATATAAGTCTGTCCTGTGGCTCTGTAATTAATAAGGAGAGTAACTACTGACATCACACATCACATCCCAGTAGCCTAGGTTTTGCTGGGATTTAAGATGTCCTAAAGCAACAATTGTCTTTAGGTCTGTTGCTCCCTATTGCTGTTAACATTAAATGAATGTCTGTGGCAACCTTAAAATATTTAAAGCTGAACATCACCCTTGCCTTCAGTCTTGCACAGTTATACAGTATTCTCTCAAACTTTCATCATGATTCCACTGCACACTGAGAACTTCTCACAGTGTGCATAAGAACCTGCAGCAAGTCATATAGAACACCCCTCATTTCTGGGCTGGAGAAAGTCATCTAGCTCTTTTCTCCCCAGCTTAACGGTCCTAGCTTGCCCCCTTCAATCACTGGATTTCTTTTTTCTTTTCATGTAGGAAGTCATTTAGGCTGGTCTGCATGTAAATGTAGTCTGCCTAGGAATGCCCATTCATCCATACTGATAGATATTTTGATATTTGCATAGTTCCTCCCAAGAGTAGGTCTACTACTTGCATCAGAGTTGAGCACCCTTGAGAGAAGTACTGAGGCAAGGTGTTGTGATGTTTTCAGCAAGTTTTATACGGGGCCCTGCTGACTCCTCCCACCAGCCATGAACTTTTTGCATAGCATAGAGAAGAACATAAACCCAGTGATGATATCAATGGATCTAAAATAAGATATGTAATGAAAATGGAAACTTAATTTTCATTAGCACCATCAGAGGTACCAGGATAGTCATATTATAAGCAGATTCAATGTTAGTTTGAATTATCTATATTATGGGAGCAGCAAGGGGGAACTGTTCTAAATTATGGGCTTTGGGTGCACTTTAACACTTTCAAATGTTATAAATACTAAGCTCCATCAGCCCCATACAAATTTTAGTTGCTTTACAAAGCTGAAAAGGCTTTGTGGGCTCTACTGTCCACATATAATATTTTACATGGCTGGTCTTCAAAGGTATAACTACTATTGTAGTTCTGTGGTCCTGTGTAGTAGTTAAACTCCTCCTGAAATATTCATAGGTCCCTTCCCCACTGCCTAAGGGTGTTCTGATCACTGGCACCAGGCAACAGAAGACTGGACCTTTTGTATACGGTCATCTCGTCTGCCTTAGCCATGATAATTCCCGTTGACACAAAGACAGGGCTCAGAAAAGCCTTCTTTGTTCAAGACAGCAGCACTTGCAATTACAGAGTACTCCATGAGCCACCCTAGCAGCCTATCATTGTGCCAGAATAAGAAAGCAACAAACCACTAGTGACCAACAAAGTAAAACAGGGCTTTTGTGATAAACCACCATTGCTGATGGACAGAGTGAAGTGGGCAGTCATGTTCAAGGAACCCCTCAAGGACGGTAAGGGAGTGCCCAACATTTCTACTCAACTGAGGGTGTTCTTTGCCTGCAACTTCATCTGCAGTACTTTGCTGAACCGGACAATGGACTCTAGCGGAAACTCCATGTTACATTTTTTCATTTTGCTCCTCCGGAGGTCCCTCGGATGGAACAAATGGAACAGTTCCATCCCCTGTAACTGGGATACTCCTTGGTATACTTGGACACTTTTAAGTTTATCAAGGAGTAGGGACCACATGGAGTCAAGCTCGACTTGTGGAAGCCAAAGACTATCTACAAGCTGATTAGAGCCAAATACATTTTAGAGTCGGTTCCAGGCCTGCCTTCAGCCACTTGCAAGGTGGTCTGGAGGAATGTTTCTTCAAAGAGAGCCTTGCTGAGGCTTCAGAGATTTCTTCCAATTGACCAACAAAGAAAAGGGGACTTTAGCTGGGTATAGCACTGACAGAACACTGAACTAATAGGGAAAACCTTTCTACTGATTGACCTCCTTTTTTATGAGTTGGGGCTTACCACTGATCACTGATGTAAAGAGGGTGAATATTTGTAGTAAAGGTACCTGATATTAACAGTGCATATGGCTAGGTGCTGCAGAAAAGTAGTTGGAAAAGAATGATCCTGGGGCCGTGTGGAGGAATTGGGGGTTCCAATGAAAAGTCTGCTATGGGGATGTGTAGCTATGTCCATGATGGTTTATTTTAAATTATTCAATGTGGTTTCAAACCTTAGCCCTTAAACAGGCTAGATGCTTCCAGAGAATCTTGAAGCTGAATCTAGTATTGGCACTCACATTTCAACCTTCATTTACATTATATATTGAGTTTATGATATTCTCATTTTATACCTGTTATCATAAGAAGCATAATATTATTGCATATATTCAATTGTACTTTGTATTTACTGTATATGTTGTTTAAGAATAAAGGACCACTCAAAGTCCATGTATTCAAAATTCCAAAAAACATGCATTTCAATTTTCTGATTTAAAACATCACACCAATGAATGACATGAAGTGGGCCGGAAAAAAATGTTTGTTCAATGCCCCAATGAAAAGATTCAGAAACACTGTAGCTTAGTCATTTGGAATTGTTTTCTTGTTATTATATACATCCATTTTACTCACACTGTTTCTATGTGAATTCCACATACACATCATTGCTAATTATGTGTCTTATCCTTACCAAGAATCTAAGTGTTTGCAACAGATTAGTACTAGCATCAAAAAACTATTGTAAATACCTTGCATAATATAGCAAGTGTTTTACACATAGTATAGGAACTTACATTGTATTTGTACTTGTAATTGCTTTAAAGTGGTTCTAAAGGCTTTTATTTATTACAATAACAAACATGGTATACTTACCTGCTCTGTGCAATGGTATTGCACAGAATGTCCCAGAACCTCCTCTTCTTGGGTCATACGCTAGCGCTCCAGGCTCTGCCTTGTGCCAGCAGCTTGCTATGAGGGCACTCGTATGGGCTCAATCCTGAGCCAAGTGTAGCGCAGCTCAGAACCACCCCCGCGCCCTTATCACTTAATTTGACTGACAGTCAACAGGAGCCATTGGCTCCCACTAATGCCTGTCAGTCCCTGTGGGAAGAGAGAGAGAGGAGAGAAAGCTGCAACAAGGGCACAGCTCTGGATCCATCCAGGAGTGAGGTAAGTGTTTTGAGGAGGAGGGGGGCACGACAAGTCCTAACATGTTTTTTACATGCATTAAGGTAAAAAAAAAAAATGTAGCTTTAGAACCACTTTAGGCAGGTCTGCAATTTTATCTTCAGATTATATAAACCATTCTTGAAACACACCGTAAACTGGTGCTAGAACTCCACATTCCTTCCAATGGAATGATGACTTTGAATGGTGAGAATAAACATCCAACATGTGTATCATTTTGTAATTATGTCATCTGTGTTTGAACACTAAAAATATATTGCATTAGCTCAGATATTTAAAAAAAATATCCTTTTGTTTCTCTAATCCTATTTTCAGTTATAAACCTTGAACTTTAATTAAATTTAACTAAAAGATTATGTGTTACAATTTTAGTCACATACAAAATGAGAAGTGCAACATACCTTAAATCCTGGAGGTCCAGGAGAACCCTAAAAGAACATATACTGTTATAACTTTTAGAACAATGTTTTGAAGACACATTTTGAAGCTAGATTTTGTAGCTGTGGAGACATAGCATTGATTTTAAAGTGGACATCAAGGGAAATATTTTTTCCTTTGTAAATCAGTGAGCATCACCATATTACCATTACATTATTGCTGTGCAGGCAGTAATATTGATATATAGGACACAAAGGGGTCTATTTATAAAACATTAATTGCACAAAAGTCAGAAACATTTGTGCAAACTAAACTAAACGTCAACATATGTTTTTTAATAGATAAAATCATGCATCAGCAGCACCTCCCACTGGCCAAAACATGCTATTTTTTATTGTTGCGATATTTCAGAAACTATACTGCATTTGGCCACTAAATGGAGCTGACGATACAGGAGATAATCTATTCAAAAACATACATCAGAATTTAGTTCAGCTTGCACAAATAAATAAAGCCCTTAATCTTGTTGCATTGATAGCAGTGACACCACAATAAAATGGCAGTGATTCAGTGTCACAAATGATAGAAGCACTTCTCCACTTCCTCTATTACTCAGTAACATCATGCCTCTGCCCTTGGGAGTCATGCTTATAACTGTCAATCTTGCAATGCCTCATGGGAATTGTAGTTTGGCAACAGCTGGAGGGCCGCCAGTTTGACATCCGTGCTCTAGAGGTATTGGCCAGCATAGTTCCTCCTCGTGTTACGCCTGCTGTGTCCCAGTGTCTAGATTACAGTTTACCAAATGAGCCTCTCCTGCCACCCTTTCTACCGGGCTCCAGTTATTTAAATAGTAAGCAGGACAGGAAGATCATGCAATCCAATTTTTAGAAATGGATTTTATGGTGCATTTATGATTTTTTTTAAATATAATTTTTTTTCTTTGGTTTACTAAGTGTATATGCTGGTTCTTTGACTTATTTAACACCAATTCTCATACAATAGGCTTGGATTAATTTTCTCCAGTTGCTATATCTTCAAATCACTAAGTAACTATGGTATTCAGCAATAACTTGCCTACACATGTGGTAAATTATACTGATTTGTTAGCCTTTTCATCACTATGGGGTTGATTTAGTAAAACTGGAGAGTACAAAATCTGGTGCAGCTCTGCACAGAAACCAATCAGCTACCAGGTTTTTATGTCAATGCTTAAAGTGTTACTGAACCCAGGACCCTGCATTCACTATATCTGTGTCAGGGCAAGGCTCGTGCTACTAAATGAGCAGCTCTTTTCTTTCAGTGCTCAGAAGTTGTTCAGCTGTTGGTTAATTACCAGCCTACAGGTGGAATGTAGATATAGTCCAAATCAGGGGCGGACTGACAACTCATGGGGCCCCCGGGCAATAGGGGATCATGGGGCCCCTGTGTCCTTGCCCAAACTAAAAAAAGCCTATGAAAAAGGTACCAGGGGCATCTCATGGGGCCCCCTATTGACCCCGGGCCCTCGGGCAGTGCCCGAGTTTCCAAATGGTCAGCCTGCCCCTGGTCCAAATTAACAACATGTTTGATCAAATGAGACATTTCAAACACATAGCACTTACAGGATAGCCTATGAGACCTGGTAGGCCAGGAGGTCCAAAAGGTCCTATATCTCCCTAAAAATCAAAGCAAAGAAAAGTTCTAGGTTAATATACAGATTTTAAACACTTAAAAAAAAACCTGATTAAACATTTTCAGGACACATTTAAAATATTTGTATAGAAATTATCTACATTCCCTTTCTTCTGTTTTCCACAAATATAACTAGAGATAAAAATCTATTAATTATTATTGGGTTGTATATTCTTCCTTTAATTTGTGTTACTGAATCAGGATACAATCTCAATAAGATCTGGATCTGTGTGGATTATTTTTGCTCACAATATTGGTAAAATCATTTTTTAAGGATTGACTGTGTTTCCTACTAAGGCAAGCCATACATTATACAATTTTGTTGCTCAATTTTTCTTTAGATTCACTAAAACCATATAATATGAGGTCAAACATAAACACTTTCAATTTGTATTCAATCAGGCAGGCTCTTGCACTACATAGTTGATGGCAAATGTAAAGGAAATGGAATAAGAAAATTATATAAGGTATGGCCAGCTTTAATGCCAATAGGGTACATGGTTGTACTCAAGTTTAGTCCTCAACTAATATTTAGAACAAAAAATGCATACAGGCAAGTATTCCGTGGTTTACTGGGGGACAAATAGCATTGTAGAGTCCCTCAAAACTATTTTGGTTTTTAACCTTTTTAGTAGGTATCCTGCCTATGCATTTATTATTGCTTGATTTCTAGAAGCAATCTAATTTATATACTGTACTGCACATACAGAGAGCCCTTGTAGACCTCTTTTATTAAATTATACTGAAATGTTTATAAAAGTTGCTATACATTGGGGAGAGGTCAGATAGAAGTAGCGAGAAGGTTTCCTACTAATCTATAAATCTCCTTTTAGGGCACAAATAATGATGAGGAAGCCGAGCAAAGTTTGGTTCACGGGACACTCACCAAACACCTATAAAAATGGCCAAACGCCACACATTCCACCTGAACCCTATTTAAGTCTATGGCAGCAAAATATTTTTTTTTTCCTGCCTTTTTTAAGGCCACGTTACAAGCTTTTGGGGGAGTTAAGTGCATGGGTAGGTGGCCACTGCCATGAGAGACAATGCAAATAACATTTTTAACAATTATTCAGTTGGGAGCAGTTTTTTTTTAAAATAAGGATTAGGACTCATACACAGAACTGCAAAGAAAAATGTTTTTTTATCAGCAAACTGTTTTTTGGATCTGAACGCAGGTGTATTGTTTTCTATGAGAACAAGCATACGGCTGCGTAAAGATCGGAATTCTTGCACTGTGTTCAGATCAGTAAAATAAACAAAAAATAAAGTGCCTCTGAGGTCCTTCATATGTGCGACAGGGCTGTTCTGTGCTGCAGAGCTGTGTAAATCTCAGGATAGGAAGGACAGAAATACCTTTGGCAGCTCTCACATATGTATTTAATAAACACATAAAACTAAAACATCCAACATACTGTATATGTATTTTATATATGAACTTGCCTGGAGTTCAGCTTTAATTTCTTAGTGTTTACCCAAATAAATTTAATGATAAAATATGATGAAACAGGATAGTCCCAACATTTAATACACCTTACCTTCGTGCCATTGCAGCCTGGAATACCTTGTGGGCCAGGTGGGCCATCTTGCCCAGGTATACCCTGGTAAAAAAAAATGTTTTAAAACCTTTGAAATATTTTCCTATGTATGATAAATTGTATGTTCAGTTTTCCAAAAAAGTACATACAGGGAGGCCTGGGTTTCCTGGAAATCCAGCTGATCCAGGAGGTCCCTGAAATGAAAGACAAGGAAAGAACTGACTTCACCAAACTTCACAAAATAGATATGAAATACCAGCATAGACCATTGTAAAGGTAAATGCATTTGAATTCTGTGATTTGCCCAGTGTAAATGTGTACTAAACCCTGAGATTTATTGACGCTTCATAATTAAAGAATCCACAAGGACCCTCATGGTTCTGTCTGGATTCATTTTTGCTTTCTTAGGTTCTGCATTACCTCTATTTTCTGTGCTATTATTCTTTCTATCTACCACCTCTGGTTTTACCTCTACTGCCTGCATGTGTCCAGTCATTTTGGAAAAGCTTGCACAAACTATGAACCTTTTTCGTTGACCAGTGGCTGCATACCAGCCAACCTCAATCCTCCTTTCCCAGCCCATCCTTTTGTGTATGCCCTATGTGCCATTTTGATTTAAGATTTGGCCTAGCATGATTATCCTTGTTGACTCTAGATCCTCAGCTATCATTTGTTGTTTTTCTTAGTTACAAGTCATGATTTAATGAGTCAGGATTGTCTGATTCCCCTAACCCTGAGCAGACTTGTCTAAAAAAAATCTGCCTGGTTAGAAATGTGTGATTTGTTGATGATCACTGGAAATTTAACATTTGGCTTTAATGATGCCTTACTTAGATTTAACAAACAGCCATAATTACTTGGTTGGAAAAATATTACTACACTTTCTAAACCATTAACAAAAAAAAAAAAATCTGCAAGTGTGATTTCAGACTAAGCTGGCTACAATTTTATGTTGTCCATGATCAAGGACAGGTCCTAGAACAGCCTTTCTCAACATTGTTGACATGGAGGGACCCTTGAAATAACTTTCCGGTTTCAGGAAACCCCTGCTAAAAATTACTATATCTACAAGTCATGATACAATAGTGTGATAATCAGTTGGAAGACTGTTCATCACAGTTGTGGTCATTGGGAAAAGTTATCACTTACAGGTAGCTAAAAAGATCACTGGTGTCAAAAGTTATCCCTTACAGGTAGCTAAAAAGATCACTGGTGTCAGTGCAAACTTATCTGAGAGACAAAAATTGCTCATTGCTTAAGGGACCCCCAGCAACCCCCGGAGGAACCATGCTTGAGAAAACGTGTCCTAGAGTGTCATTTAACAATTTTTATTATTATATTTTTTTTTTTAGCAAAAGGCAAACTGAGCTCTACATGGAGCGCAGCTATAGCATACATGGGTACTTTAACTTCAACTACAAGTCAATAAAACATCCTCTTCTGACTTGCTGCTTAGCCAAGCACCTATGCACCCTGTAGCAGAATTCAATAAATCTTATTAGTGGTGTCAGTTCAATGAAATCTAATATTCTTTATGGTTTCAGAACAGTTAACTAAATATCACTGGTATTCTAATAGTATAACAGTAACAATATTTGCACATATAATATAGCTTACTCTGTTTCCTTTTGTTCCAGGAAGTCCAGGCTCACCAGTGTCACCCTGTAAAAAAAAAAGATAGTTTTTTTATTAATATTGTTGTTATATAACTTTACTATATACAGTATAATGTACTGTTTACCTTCTGTCCCAGTGGTCCAGATGGCCCTTCAGGTCCTTGAAGTCCAGGAAATCCGATAATACCAGGCAGGCCAGATAAACCTCGTTCTCCCTTTGAGAGGCAAAAAAAACTACTTTTAGTACCATTTGGTAAGTACAGTGCATTCAAAGCGTAGTCAAACTTGTTACATTTCAATTTATTTTTCACTTTAATTTTTTTTTAATATTGTAGAAACTGGTAATTAGTTTCCCAAACTTCATTGCAAAGTAGGGCTGTGTAGCAAGAGGAAATAATACATATATGTATGAATGGCTTATCAAGCAAGTCAAGGCTTAAAGAGTAACTCCAGTTTTGTTGATAAAAACACATTCCCCTCTGGGTGATCTATGTACATTGCCAGGATTTTAATAAACTTCGTTGCACAGTCCTACTTTTTGTTATTCTGAAGAAAGAGACATTTGTTTGTCTGTGTCCATATGGAAAGTAAATCTAATAGGAGTGGTTTTATCAGTCAGCTGCTGCACTTGCAAGGCTCTAGCTTCCTCAAATTACAGGGTCCGCATCCCTTTAGATTAGGTTTCCTATTGAAAGTATCTCATCCAAAAATGACATTTTTGTTACAGGGGATGCCTAAAATCTGATTTGTATCCTAGTGCAGATTTCTGGGAAAATCAGTGAGCCAATCACACAAGCAGGAAATGATGCTGGGTAAAGGTAGCCATATTGCATTGCATTTTTCAGAAAATGACAGCACTGCAGATTGAAAAGGAAAGGTCATTTTTTTAATAACATTCAATTACAATTTGACTTGTGTCGCAATTGTATATGCTATATTATTGTTTGCTATTTTTTTTCCCTACAAAAACAGAGTTACCCTTTAAGGGAAGTGTTTCATTGCAGATATTTCCCATTCACTCCCTGTCCCATAGCCAAGGCAGAAAGTGAGGGGAAATCCCTGCAAAATGAGGGAATCCGGTAGTCACCAGGGTCACCAGAACTAGTGTCCCCATTAGAAGATTTCCCTTCTATGACTTTTCTTGGGACAACCCAACATTTGGGATTTTCTTTTACTTTCACTGTAAGTGATAATGGTAAACAGGAGAAATAGAGAGGGTAAACAGGATAGAATTAAAAAAGAAAAAATAACTGTGTTCTAATCCATCTCCACTCTATGAAAAAAAAAAAGTTTTTCCTTTTAGTTATACTTTAAAACTGGAGGTTCTGGAAATTTAAACAGGGATTTCTAAGACGCACATTAAAAACAAATGTAAATTAAGTGGAAATAATCTTAGGCTGTACAATTACTAATGATTTATATTCTTTATAGGACAGCAGTCAGGAGGAAAGTATTTGCACTAGTGATGCTGACCTCCTTTGCTAAATTTCAGTTGCCAAGGGGTCTGAGGTTGTAACACTTTACTGATCCAAAACAAGCATGTACCAAATGAAATTCAAATTCCTATTCTAAGTACTTATGACCATTTAGTGAAAGCAAAGGATAATCATGACAATCAAGCAGTCAGCATGTTCTG